TGCAGTTTTCCCTAACAGAAAGCAAAATTTCACGCACACTCTTTGTTCCTTCTGGTCGGCCATCTCACTAATCGCCAAAGGGTTGAAACAGGAACGCACACAACAGAGCACCACAGACAAACCACTTAACTCAGACTGACGCCAGCTCACTAACAGTCGCGGGAGACCCCCAGCTAACACCACCTAGCAGCACAACTCGTAACTACAAAGCATGCGTGCGCAACAGGTCGGTTCCGGTTATTTTTGGGTCCCCCCTCGTGTTGTAACATGGATGGACAGAGCATTGCTTGGTAACTGACCATTAAACACCTCACAAGTGTCAAAACCCATTGATCTACCACTCCCTCCCATCGTCGTACCTCACTTTAAGCAAAAATATTGGTAAAAATAACATGACACATGATGTTTGTAGTAAAAGCAACTAGTAACTGGGCTGTGTCTCTGATGTCTGTAGATTCATCCAGTTGGAGGGAGAAAGCAACACAATTGGAAATATCTTTCAACAACTGTTCAATTATGCTTCCACACATCATTTCTATTCGCCGCACAATGGTGTTCCTTGATAGTTAAAGATCTTGAATAGTAGCTATGGTCTCTTTCTTATTATATATTACAAGTGAATTTACATGCTTTTCACATATAATTTCCTTATAGCCCTATGAGATCGACCAAAAATTGTCCCGCGATCGAGACATTGGACATGCCTGCTATATAACAATATTCCAGGAAAAACCAAGGCAGTGTTTTCTGTATTACGTTACAGTGAGAGAGTTCTCGGTGTAACATAGCCAAGGAAAGTTCATCATGTGAAGACTTTGTGTGTAATTTGAAGGCTTTAATTATGTGTAATATTAGGAGTGTGTTGAAGTGCTGGTTCCTATGTTTTAATTGCATTACCAGGAGAGAAGTAGTGTGTGTGTAACGGTGAATAATGAAGTGTGTGTAAATCAGCGATGTCGCTGTAACTTAAATGTGATTAAGAGAGGTGGTAATCGAAAGTGTTAATAACTCCAATTATCCTAATTAGAACCCATCATTCTCGTCACATGGACCACCCTACACGTGACAATACCATGAGGGCCATAGGGTTGTGAGACATTGAGGCTTCCACACTTTCTAGACAGTTGGCTCACAGGTGGCAGTGAGGTTGTGAGACCTACATGCTGGCTGCCCTTAACCCAGGAAGAGTCCTTGTACTTATTTCTGTGATAGGCTGAGTTGACCTGGGCCATAGTGTGGCTGGAGGGATTAGATCATTTGAAAAATCCAGTGATCTCATCTGGAATTGAACCTGTGACCTTCAGGCTTGTAGGTTAGTGCCTCAACCAACTATGCTACCGGGCTGCACCATAGCTCAAGTGGTTAGTTGCTGGCTGCCCACTGTGGCGGCCCAGGTTCGATCCTGGGTCTGGTGAAGTGGGATTTGTGGTGGACAAAGTGGCACTGGGGCTGGTTTTCTCAGAGTACTTCAGTTTCCCTTGCCAATCTTCATTCCACCAAATTCTCCAGCATCATAATCACCCGGAACAGGTACAATAGGCCAATCAGTGGCTGCCATGCCGAGTGGACCCAGATGGACTCCACCCCCCACTAAGTGAATTTAAAGAAAAGAAAACTATGCTACCTCTTACCCCCATATTTGTCATAGCTTGTCTAATCAGTACCAATGATAGTGTGCCAAATAACAGCCAGTTTCATTTCCAAGGTAAAATAGCCACGATCAGTTGCCCATGAGAAACTCTCATTACCAGTCAGTCAGACTTTGTTGTTGTTTAGTATTCTGTACCAGTGGTGGACTATCATGCAATATTAAGTTACAGCTCCAAGGTAACACAGTCAAGGTCAGTCATTTATGAGCAAGTGTGCTGTCCTTGTACCAATCTCTCCTCTTCTGTGGTTTACTTCATGCTGCTGTCAGTAGCTCAGGATGTATAGCAATGAGTGTTAGGCTGATTGGTGAATAATGAATTAGAAAGGATATGGAAAGAAGTGGTCATGGCCTAATAGAGGCATTATTGCAGCATTTGTGTGGAGGTTAAGATAAGGTAAAGCTATCCCTGTAACAGGCTGTGAAGGCCCATAGGGTTATGAGATGTCAAGGCTTCTACATTTTCTCTAGATGATCGACTCACAGATGGTGGTAAGGTTGTCAGCCTTATGTGACAGCCACCCTTTACCCCTCTCCCCCCTCCTCCCCCACAGGAAGATTTCTAGTACTCATTTCTGTTAGAGGCTGAGTCGACCCCAGTGGCATAGTGAGGCTGGAAGGATTAGGTAAATTGAAAAAGTCCCCTTCTTCGGAATTGTATGGAGGGATTGAGGAAAACTGCAGAAACCCTGAATTAAGGTGCACCCACCAAATATTTGTACAAGGCCAGAACATTGCAAGTACATCACCCTGCTTGGTGCTGCCCTGCTTCAAATGTTCTTGTGACACTTTGTATGTTTTACTCCTTTTTTTGTTAGTTTTTAAGGACATCTTGCATGATGTGAGCGTGGCTGAGATATATTTTTAGGGATCTGTTTTTGTTGTTTTAAGAGTTTGACACCATATTTCACACCAGTGGTTATTAAAAATAAGCACTAAGCAAGATAACTTCTGACTTCTCATTGGAAGCTGTCCAGTTAGAATCTTGGCTGGGGCACTGCCTGTCCTGGCTGAGTTTTTTCATGGATTTTCTCAGTCTATCCAGGCAAGTGCCAGTACTTCAAATTAGGTCACAGCCTTATCCTTTCTAATTCATTATTCACTAGTCATTCTACCATTCACTGCTCGTTAATCTGAGCCACTAATGTTGTTAAATAAACATAATTAAGTGCTAATAGTAATTACTTTTTAATGTATATTTAAATTTCAGGCATTATAGAGGGCTTGGAAGATGGAGAAAATACTGAAGACTTGGCATCTGGTAATCGCTATCCTTGTGACCAGTGTGAGAAGACTTTTCAGACAAAACAGAGTTATGAGGTATATTTATATTGAAGCTGATACTGACGAGGCACTGTGCTACAAGCCAGAAGGTCACAGGTTCAAGTCCTGAGGAGGTCATTTTTTTTTCTTCAGTTTACCTAATCCAGCCGCACTATGGCCCTGGGGTCGACTCAGTCTCTAACAGAAATGAGTACCAGGAATTATTTAAATAATTTTCCTGGGGAGTAAAGTGCGGCCGGAGCGTAAGGCTGACAACCTTACCGCCATCTGTGAGCCGATTGTCTAGATAATGTGGGAGCCTCAGTGTCTCACAACCCTATGGGCCTTCGCAGCCTGTTACAGGGATGGCGTTGCTTTTTTACTGACTACATCTGTATTTCTAGCCCACATTATTTTATAGGAAAATTGGATCATAGTACTGTCATGGCCATGATAATGAGCCTGAACTTCTGTTACACAAAATTTTTTATACATCTTAAAATAACTTGTCAGCCATGTTAAATCGATATTTGGTTTCTGTTTTGGTGGCTGTAATGAGTGCAACCATTGGCGTACGTGGAATTTTGTGTAGATTTGTGTCATACATGTACCTGAATTCTTTGAAGTATCATTTTTTGTATGTTAACGATTACAACTCTGGCAAAGGTGTGAAGTTTTTAGATTACATCTGGCATGTTTTTTAATGTGATAAGGATCTGTCATAATAGAAATTATTCAGTAAAGGGGAAAAGCAAATTGTGTAATCATTAATTTATAGTTCTTACTAGTCTTACTATATTTATTGAAGAATTTGAAGGAAAGGTGGCTGTGTAAATTCACAGAATGTATTAATAATTGAAATTATTGTAGTGCTATAATTCTTTTCATTTCAGGTCCATTTAAAAGCAATCCATGAAGGTCAAAGACCATTTGCATGTGAAGTGTGTGGAAGGAGTTTTGCATATCATAACAGTTTGAAGGGGCACATGCTGTCACATGAGGTAATATCATCTTGCACCTAAATGTGGAGTAAATTATTTGCCTTATGAATCAGCTGCAAACCAAGTTCAGGCATTATTGTGAAGCCAGTGAGTTTTGATATTTTTATGAGCATGCAGATACCTGCATTTGTGAAAAAGTAGTTTAACTGTATTGTGCCAGGCTTCTGACTTCTCAATTTTAGTAGACTGATTCCTGAAAATAAGAATGACCCTATGTAATGATATGCACCATGTGTTATATTCTTAGCTTCTGAATTAATTTTTGTAAAACTTCTCAGGAAAGGCATACCATGGCCATGCCATAACATAGGCAGTTCTCACAAGCCTCAGTTCACTTCCAGGTTAGTCCTTGTGAAATTCGTGGGGAAAGTTTTTCTTGAAGCACTTGATCATTCCACCAGTGTTCCATTCTCATTTTCTGAGGCAGGTACACTGTTACCATTTCAGGATTCAATCCAAGGGACTTTATCCTACCCCACTCTTAAATTAATTGAAATGTCATTACATTGGAGATGGCCATGAAAGTCTACATGTATTTGAATTCTTACCTTAAGTGATTCCAGTGTGCAGACATGTGAAGCTTGAGGAGCTGTGTGCTATTCATTATAGGATTTTGAGAAGTCACATTTTGCAGTGTTAAAATTATTCATCTTGTGCTAAGATAATAGTTCCATGAAGTAGAAAAATAATGTGCTTAATATTGTGACATGTTGAGCTATGGATCACCCCTACCTCCCCAGCGGTATGTGGCGGTAATGTAACGCTCGCGTTACTACGGTAATAGGCGAGTTCCCGCCCCGCCACTCCCCTCCGCGGTGACGTAACGCGCAACGCTACGTACCCGTAATCAACTTCCTACTGTGACGTGGCACTCATTACGCAACCGGCAAGCACTGCAGCTATATAAGTGAGCTGCACAGCTGGTACCAGTCAGTTCTACTGTAGCAGTCGGCGACTTCAGTTGTACTGTGACAGCCGCCGAGTTATAACGTGGCCATCGCCGAAGATAGTTCCGAGCAAGCCTACGAGAGTGTGTTATCAACAGTTCTCCAGTCAGCGGACTACAGTTGGAGTATAGCAGCCGTCGCGGATAGAAGAACCGGACGTGTGTGTGATTGTGTAATTGGGAGCGTGTGATACAGTGAT